GCGTGGGTCAAGCAGAAAACTGCTCCGATCCATGCTTTCTAGTCAAATGGTACAAGTGGAAGTATGGAAGAGCCCTAAATGAGCATGGAAACGATTGCAGCTGTTGTTTGCTGCAACATTCATCATTGATATTATTTGCATCCCACTTAATATGCAGAAATCCCTGTGTGGTTTCCATAAAAGAGCATTAGAAATAAAAATGCATATAGGATGTTTAAAACAAAACAAAAAACCCCGAAGAAATATATCGGAAGAAACAGAGAAGCCATCAGTAAAACATTCAGTTAAATATCGATAAATAAAAGAAACAGAAGCTCATATAAGGTTCATCACACTCTTCTGTTTCAACAGGCACTTTTTAGCTTTAAACACACACACACACACACACACACACACACACCCCACCCCTGGGCCAAGGTGACCTTTCTGTGGTCAAGTAGCAGGAAAACGGCAGCGACACAACACCAGGCAGGCGGTGTCACGTGTCGGGTGCCAAGCAGGAAAAGGGTGTTTCCTGTTCCTGAAAGCTTGTCCAGAACTGAAGCAAAGGAAGGAAGAGGATGGGGAGAGGAAGGGCACGGCACAGCACCCACCTTGGGGTAGGACAGGGTTGCTGGCGCCCTCCTAGCGCTGACCCGCCGGTGCCGAGGGCAGACTGGCGAAAGGAGGCTCCTGGCACGACATTCTGCTTGGCAAAGGCTACGTCGTTCCTTCTGCCTTCCGACCTGCCTGCGTAGTGAGGGAGAGAAGGATCCTGGCAAAGAACGGGATGGTGAATACAGAGGCAGGGCCCGGACGAAAGGCGTTTGGGGCTTTTTAGCTCAGTGAAAAGGTGAGCAAGTGATGTCATGCTAGAAATTCATAGAATTATGCACAGCACGGAGACAATGGGTAGAGGAACGTTGTTTTTTCCCTACCCCTTTTGCAACATCCAATGCAGCTGAACATTGAAGTTTCAGAGGAGATAAAAGATAGGACTTCTTCACACAGCACATAGTTAAACTATGGAACTCACGCCCACAAGACGCAATGATGGGCACCAATTCTGTAGCTTTAAAAGAGAATTAGGCAAATTCATGGAGAGAGCTATCAGTGGCTACTAGCAACCATAGCTATGCTCTGCCTCCAGAAGCAGCCAATGCTTCTGAATACCAGTTTCTGGAAACCACAGGAGGGAATAGGGATCTTGGGTTTGAGTCCTGCTTGTGGGTTTCCCCTTGGGGCATCTGGCTGGCCACTGTGAGAACAGGATGCTGGACTAGGTGGGCCACTGGCCTGATCCAGCCCCAGGCTCGTCTTATGTTCTGCCTTCTGACTGGTCCGCAGCCACAACAGTGACGAAGAGATGGCTGACACAGGGAGAAATAGTGACAGCGACACAGGTGGACTCTACACATATATTAAAAACCCCCTGTGAAAATGCTTTTATAAAAAAGCGTTTTGAAAAATATATTGGATTTGGCATAACTCTCTGTTGCCATCTAGTGTCAGATTTGTATATTGCACTTAACAACACATTTAAAATGTTTTGCTTGCAGCTGTATAGCTGAGTCAACAGAGGCGGGGACCAGGCAGAATGGGACTAGCCCTCATCAGCAGGGACAGTTTCCACATACACACATGGTTTATATAGGTCCCAGGTTGAGCTTCTCCTTGGTTGCCCAAGAATTTGTCTTGGATATATTGGCTATAGATCCAATATCTGGTGCATACCCAGACTTCCAGGTCATGGATCAACCGCATGTTTTCTTCTGGTTAAAATGGATTTCTCCCAGCAGCATATTAGGGAGAGGCTGGAATGTCTTCTGCAGGATAATGTGCCAAAGTTTGGCAGAGCAAAGGGCCTTGGGTTTCTGCTTTGCTCTGATGGCAACAGAAATATTGCATGCATTCGTGGGGCCGTCCCTTGTCAGTGCTGGAAAGCAACAGTGCTGAAGATGTGTTGCGCCACCCTGCCCCACGACGCCTGTGATTTCATAAATTCTGTCTCTGCTCCAGGAAAATCATTAGCTGCAGGAGCTCAGAAAGAGAAACACCTTCCTCCGAGGTTTTCTCAAGCATGGCTGTCTTAACAAGAGCAATATGCTGGCCAAACGTTTATCACAACTCGGATATTGTTTTGTCACGCACTAAGAATGATATCCAGCTGTCTCCGAATGCATCAGTGAGGATCAAAGCTCGTTTGGAGTAAAAACACACCAGTATTTTGTAAAGAAAAGGATAGATACTGGTTAGATATGGATTAAGGCGAATGTCAGTTCTGTACCTCTTCCCAAACCAGTTGCAGAAGCACACTAGATGAGCTACAAGTGAGTGTGTTTGCACAGCCATGGACTAAAGCCTGCTCCTTGGTCTCAGGAACCTTCCTGCAAAATTTTGTTTTGATTGCTTTAATTTAGTCTATTTCATACCACCTTAGGATCTTAGAGTTTCTGTGAAATGTCCTGTACAAGTGTATCAAGACAATAGATCGTGTTTGGCTTTGCTGAACTCGGAGAGTTGCAAGCAAAGGACCAAGTACTTGCAGATTAAGCTACATCGTGCAAGAGAGTGTATTCAGAAAGGACTCATTCAGGTGTCCTACATGGCAGGAAATGAAATTCCTGCTGATCTGTTGTCTAAGGTTGTTAACAGAGAACGACTTAAGGTTTACGTACAAAGGTTGCAATTGGGTTGAACCACAGGTACTACAGGTTACACGGAAAGGGGGAGGATGTTAGGATATTTCCGTTCCACCTTAAAAGGGAGCAGGCTTTGTGAGTCAGAGTCTGCGTTTTTCCTGTTCACAGGATGTTTATGTTTTCTGTTGCTTTCGTTTTCTCTCTCTGTGTCGCAGACACTAAAGCAGGCAGTCATGTTTTTCTGTGTTCTGATCAACGCTGAATAAACTTGTAAATAATGCTCTCCTGAGTGCAACTTTTGGCTGTGCATTATCTGCTGATAGAGCGTGCATGAGCTCTGGAATGTGGCAAGATATTTTCTAGAAACTCATGTCGCTGCGTGCCTACGGGAGGTCGCTGGATCGTCCGGCAGACGGCTTGGGGGCCTTGATGGACTTTATCTCCCTGGCAGTATCCCAACATTCTGTACCTCTTCCCAAACCAGTTGCAGAAGCACACTAGATGAGCTACAAGTGAGTGTGTTTGCACAGCCATGGACTAAAGCCTGCTCCTTGATCTCAGGAACCTTCCTGCAAAATTTTGTTTTGATTGCTTTAATTTAGTCTATTTCATCCCACCTTAGGATCTCATACCGAAGAAGTTCCAGTAAAACATGAGCCAAATACTCTCCTTCCTTGGAGGTTTTTAAGTAGAGCTTGAATGGCCATTTATACCCCGCCCTCACTGGCCAGAGCCGGGCTCAGGGTGGCTAACACCAATAAAATCACAGTAAAAACATAATGGGGGTGAGGTGGGAAATCAATAGGTTAAAATGCAATTTAAAATGCAGCCTCATTTTAAAAGTAGCCCATAGATCAAGACCATAAGGGGAGGGAAAACATAAGGGCCAGACTGAGTCCAAACCAAAGGCCAGGCGGAACAGCTCTGTCTTGCAGGTCCTGCGAAAAGATGTCAAGTCCCGCAGGGCCCTGGTCTCTTGTGACAGAGCGTTCCACCAAGTTGGGGCCAGTACTGAAAAGGCCCTGGCCCTAGTTGAGACCAATCTAATCACCTTGCGACCTGGGACCTCCAAAATGTTGCCATTTGTGGATCTTAAGGTTCTCCGCAGGGCATACTCTTGGGGGTCCCTTACACTTCTATGATTCCATGAAAGTGCTGTTTTCCACAAAACACTGTTAGTGCATTAATGTTTCGTTTTTTATGCATTTTTAGATTTTTGTTTTCCATGTGCTTTTACGATTGCGTGTTGCTTTGAGACATTTTTATGGTAAGAGACCAAAAAAATGTAAGATTTTCAGCGTCATCAGAGCAATAGACTTTCTGCAGCAAAGTGGCAGAGAGGCTGCATTTGCTAGTGGTCGGGAGACGGCAACTGCGATTGCATGCACACTCCTGCTCTAAGAATAGCTCCGGCAAATATTTATACTTTCGCCTGTCCTAGTGCTCAATGGACGGCCAGGCATGGTGCTGGGTTTTTAAATAGAAAGGTTTGACCGGACGGTGGCTTGTGAGAACTAGGGGAAAGGCTAATGGGAAACAGAAATTTGAGTCTTGCTCACATTTGAGGTTAGGCATAGGCAAAATAAAAATACAAGCTGTCAGATGAACTTCGCTGTCAACCTGTCATGCAAGGCGGCAAGAAAAGGAGGAGAAAGGTTCGTGCAGCTCAGTGGGAGAGAATCTGCTCTGCATGCACAAGGTTCTGGGTTCAATTCCTGCTGTCTCCAAGTAGAGCTGGGTCTGCCTGAAGCCCTGGAGAGGGACTGCCAGAACCAGGTGCTTTAAATGTGTTGGGTGTGGGTGATGCCCAGCAGCTCTTTTGAGATTTGGGCTGGAATAGATATGGTCTTTTACTTAACTAGGGTGTAAGCCAGAGCCTAGGACTTGCCAATCAGAAGGTTGGCGGTTCGAATCCCCGTGACGGGGTGAGCTCCCGTTGCTCGGTCCCTGCTCCTGCCCACCTAGCAGTTCGAAAGCACGTCAAAGTGCAAGTAGATAGATAGGTACCGCTCTGGCAGGAAGGTAAACGGCGTTTCCGTGCGCTGCTCTGGTTCGCCAGAAGCGGCTTAGTCATGCTGGCCACATGACCCGGAAGCTGTACGCCAGCTCCCTCGGCCAGTAAAGCAAGATGAGCGCCGCAACCCCAGAGTCGGACACGACTGGACCTAATGGTCAGGGGTCCCTTTACCTTTACTAAGCCAGGTATGGGGAACCTCTGGCCCTCCTGATATCATCCAACAACATTAGGCCTAGCCAGAATGACCAGAGGTCAGAGATGGGCAGGAGGTGCAGTCCAGCAACATCTGGCGGGCAGCGGATTGGGGAAGGTTGAATCAGACAACATTAGGCTGGCCCGGGGTTTCCCAAACTTGGCTCTCCAGTTGTTTCTGGACTACAACTCCCATCATCCCTAGCTAGCAGGGCCAGTGGTCAGGGATGATGGGAACTGTAGTCCCAAAACAGCTGGAGACCCAAGTTTGGGGAAACCTGGGCTGGAGCAATGGAGGCTGGGCCTTGGGGCACATGGGGCACTGACCCACCAGCCTCGGGGCTGATCCTTTGGCCCTGCTCTTTCCAGGTAGAGCTTTAACATTCCATGTGCGAGTGGTGGTGGGATTTCCCGCCCAGTGAAAACCCGCTCTTTAAAGCTGAATCAGAGCAAATGTCAATTTGGGTTTTCTGCAGGCCGACATTTGCTTTAAAGCTCGGAATGTTTTGCGCGGAAAGCTCTGGAGCAAAACCATGGATGTTTGGGCACAGAGCTTTGCACTGCAGACTGTGCCTGGAAAGAGCAGGAAAGTGTGGATAAGCCCTCCGTCCGCTCTTGGCCATTCCATATGCCTGCTTTTTTTCTTACAATCAGCCCAGGGGGTATCCTTGGCTGTCCGCTCCCTCCTCCTCCTCCTTAGTCTCAGTGTTGACCCTGTAGAAGTGAGCAGGGAGGGCAATGGGGACGAAACTAGAATTAGTCAGCTCTGCTATTGGCTAGGGCGCCACCTACTGTCAGACTCCCTGCCTTCTGCCCTACCAGTTCCAGTGGCCACAAACCATTGGCTCTGGAGCCACCTATTGCTGGGCCCCACCAGTCTTCCGACCCACCAATTCCAAGGGGCACTTCTAGGCTAGTCTCAACATGGGGGATTGGTGGCCCCCCAGACGTTGTCCCAACTCCAATTCACCTCTGGCCATGTGGCCAACGGTCAGGCATGATGATGAGGCCCAGAGTCCAGCGACAACCCTGTCGTCAGCCAACCCAACAGAGGTCCGGCTCGGGCCTACATCTTTTGGGAAGCGAAGACTTCACAGATGCAACTGAATCCAGAGCTTGTGAAGCGTCTGACAGGAGAAGCTTTTTGCCTCTCTCTGACTTAACATCTCCGCTGAGGAAACCTGGGTCCCAGCCTTGCGGCTCAAACCGAGCAACGCTCACACATGTGGCGATGAACGAACGAGAGGCTGAGTGATGGGAGTCTGAAAAGAAAAGAGCTTCCTTTGTTGGGTTTTGGAACGAACAGCTCCCCAAGCTCTTCATTTATGGGGCTCTGGCCTTCCTCCGTCCCCCCCCCTTTCTTCAACGGGTTGCTCAAAGCAAGGCCTCCTTTGAATGAAATAATTTCGCCCATCCCATCCTCCCATCCTCAGCACCATCTGCTCTCCGGAAAACCCCAGTCCAAACAGAAAAAAGCAACACACACACACACACACAGTCTTTTTGTGACATGTTGCCCCCCCCCCGGCCTCATTCCTTTGCTTCTTATAAAACTCCCCCTTGAATGAGGGCAAGGTGAGGGGGGGCTGTTCCTCCCCCCTCCAACCCACTGCCTTTTACCCAGTTCTGTAAAGAAATGTTAAAGTGTGTCTGAGGACAATGCCATGTCCCTTTCGCCACCTACCAGCTGCCGCTGGCACAAAAGACGAGTGAAGGGCGGGGTGGGGGTCCGTCCCCCACGCAAAGGGGCGCTTGGTGACCTGAAAGGGAAACCTTTAGAAAGGGGCAGAATAAATATCCCCTCCTTTCACCCTCCCCCTTAACAAGAGGGGAGAGAATCAAACGGTTTTGTTAAGCTGGAAGGGGGGTGTTCCCGGCACCGGTTAACACGGCTCCTTCTTCATCCATGTCCTGACGTCAGGAATTTAACTCACTTCTCATCTTGTCTTTCTTTCCCTGGGCAGAAAATTGAATTAGTCTCAAGCAAGTGGCTTCCTAAGGGGGCGAAGAGAAAGTGGGGAAGGAGACAGAAGAAATCAGCTTCTATTCACTAGCGGAGAGTGGGGTTTTGCTTATTGTGGGTTGAAGAAGCAAAAGATGAATTGCAGGGATAAAGGAATAGATCCTTCCTTCCTTCCTTCCTTCCTTCCTTCCTTCCTTCCTTTTCCTCTTTTACACGAGCATTCACTGATCTCAATTAACTCAGCCTGACACATGAGGCTGCGTACCTTCCCTGTACTTTCCCTGTACCTTCAAAGCACATTCAAAGCAATTATTTCCCTCAAAGAATTCTGGGCACTGTAGTTTGCACACACCACAAAGGTCCAATTCGCAGCAGCCCTTAACAAACCACAGCACCCGGAATTCTTTGAGGGGAGAAATGTGCTTCGAACGTACTCAGCAGTGCCCACGCAGTCTAATAGAGGAAAGCCACCCCATTGGTTTGCCTCTGCGAATTATGGAAGAACAGGAGCCCACTGAGGGAAGAAGGAATGGAAAGATTCCTGCACCTGGAAAGCCTGGCCACAGTAGTTAGTTGCACTGGTTACTTCAGGGCTGGATTACTGCAATATGTTCTATGTGGGGCTTCCCTTGTGCTTGATCCAGAAGCTGCAGTTAATGCAGAATGCTGCAGCACAATTGCTGAAAGGGGTGAGGTCTTGTCACCATATGACACCTGTGCTCAGAGACCTATCATGCAATCATAGAATTAGAATTGTAGAGTTGGAAGGTACCCAAAGGTCATCTAGTCCAACCCCCTGCAATGCAGGAATCTCAACTAAAGCATCCATGACAGGTGGCCATCCAACCTCTGCTTAAAAACCTCCAAGGAAGGAGAGCCCTCCACTTTCTGAGGTTGTCTGTTGAACAGCTCTTACCACCAGCAAGCCCTTCCTGATATTCAGTCGGAATCCCCTTTCTTGTAACTGGACTCCAAAAAATGTTTGTGCTTAAAGCGCCAACAGACTCCTCCTTGGTTGTGCAGAAGTTGCCACTCGCCTTCCATCATCACCCAACAATGCCTGGGAGATACCTGAGCAGAGCAGGAAGCCGTCAAAGCTGGGAGATTCATCCTAAACAAGGTTCCTTCCCCTGTAAAACCAGATAAACATTTGTTGTTCCCTTGCAACAGCTTCCAGCTTTCTTCAAGCAACCGCACTGCCTGGGGAGGCTCCCAAGGGCCAGACAGAGAGCCTTGGAAGGCCACATCCAGCCCCTGAGCTTCCCCTTCCTGATGTGGACAGCTCTGAACTGGATGGACCACTTCCCTGACTTAGCATAAAGCACACTGCTATGTTCCTGTGAGCCAGTGTGGTGTAGTGGTTAAGAGCGGTAGACTCGTAATCTGGTGAACTGGGTTCGATTCCCCGCTCCTCCTCATGCAGCTGCTGGGTGACCTTGGGCTAGTCACACTTCTCTGAAGTCTCTCAGCCTCATTCACCTCACAGAGTGTTTATTGTGGGGGAGGAAGGGAAAGGAGATTGTGAGCCACTTTGAGACTCCTTAAAGGTAAAGGGACCCCTGATCATTAGGTCCAGTCGTGGCCGACTCTGGGGTTGCAGCGCTCATCTCGCTTTATTGGCCAAGGGAGCCGGTGTACAGCTTCCGGGTCATGTGGCCAGCATGACTAAGCCGCTTTTGGCGAACCAGAGCAGCGCACAGAAACACCGTTTACCTTCCCGCCGGAGCGGTACCTATTTATCTACTTGCACTTTGAAGTGCTTTCGAACTGCTAGGTGGGCAGGAGCAGGGACCGAGCAACGGGAGCTCACCCTGTTGTGGGGATTCGAACCACCGACCTTCTGATCTGCAAGTCCTAGGCTCTGTGGTTTAACCCACAGCGCCACCCACGTCCCTTGAGACGCCTTAGGGTAGTGATAAAGCGGGATATCAAATCCAAACTCTTCTTCTTCTATGATGGGACAGATCAGCCCACTTGCAGCGATGCTCACCAATATCTAGGCTGTTCTTATTATAGATCTCTCCCCCAACCCACACATCATGGTGGGTGGGAGGCAGAAGTTGCGTTTCCCACCTCGGGTGCCAAAACTCCTTGAGCCTGCCCAGCTGTCACCGGCCGACATGGTTGTGGGAACCGGCCTTCGGTCGCAGGGCGACCCCGGTGAGAACAAGAGAGCCCCACGTCCAGGGAAGCCAGCCACCTGCGGGAATGGCTGCCTCCCAAGACTTGCGATGGGAAGCGGGTCTTTCCTGCGCGTTAATCGGCAGCGATGCCATTGGAGCTGCTCCAGATGGGACAGGCAGGGGCTCTATGGTCCAATTCCGCACACCTGGACGTATTAGATAAGCCGTTCGTCCTCTCGACAAGGCCAGGGGGCGGGGGGGGTGATGTGTGCTTGCTCTCCCAGCCGAGGCAAGGCACCAGCAAGAGCAGCTGTTCTGTATTTGGCTTCTACAAAAGGAGGAGGAGGAGGAAAAGAAGAATATGTTTCTCATTCTCCCTGAAAGATGCTGGAATTGGGGAGAGGGAGGCTGCTCTTGCTCGGCTGCTGGAGGAGTGCCATTGTTCCGAGGCGCACCACACGGACGGTGACACTGGATACTTCCTCCCCAAAGCTGTAAACACAAGCAGGCCTCTGTGGCTGCAGGTTTGGCCTTTCCCACAACAGACAATGAGGAGACAGGGGCCTGGAGGAGCCTCGGAGGAGCCCCACATCTGCCTCCGCCGGAGTGCAGCCAGCTAGGAGGAGGAAAGAGCGGGAAGAAAAGAAGGCAGCGGCGGGGAAGGGAGGGGGAAATGAGGGTGAAGACGAGCCCAAGGCGGAACGTCAGCTCAGGGGGTTAACGTGGCAAAGTGAGAGTGAAAGTGTGTGTTTTGTATGTGTACAACAATACCTTGGTTCTCGAACTTAATCCGTTCCAGCAGTCCGTTCGAATCCCGGAACCGTTCGAAAACCTGCACTCAAGTGGAAGCCGTGTCGGATGTTTGGCTTTTAAAAAACGTTTGCAAGCCAGGAAACTTACTTCCAGGTTTGTGGCATTCAGGAGCTGATTTGTTCGGCAACTGAGCCGTTTGAGAACCAAAGTATTACTGTACAGTGGTACCTCGGGTTACATATGCTTCAGGTTACATACGCTTCAGGTTACAGACTCCACTAACCCAGAAATATTACCTTGCGTTAAGAACTTTGCTTCAGGATGAGAACAGAAATAGTGCAGCGGCAGCGCAGTGGCAGCAGGAGGCCCCATTAGCTAAAGTGGTGCTTCAGGTTAAGAACAGTTTCAGGTTAAGAA